GAGGCTTTCCTGGCTACAGTGTCCTGTCTGGGCCAAAACCCTTTCATATCCCATCTTATGATTATTATTATGAAAAGGGGTGAAGATTTCTCTCTTTAACTATTTCCTGCTGGCAGAGGGTGCTGTACTGGAGCCTAGGGGAGTCAACGGGATGAAGGTTGATGCCCGGGTAGACGCTGGTGCCAGGTGTTTTGGCCAGGACACCTTCACTGGTGAATGCACATATGTTAGAATGGAAAAACAAAGAGACAAGATGTTATGGGAAGACATGGCACTGTCATTTTAAGGACCCAGGTGAGGTAAAAGGAAAGGTGCCTTTGATTTAGACATGTTCCACGGTAAGGCAGAATTCTGAAAATTAAATGTGAGATTAGGAGAAATGATGTTATGAGAGGTGATTACTCCCCCATCTGAAAGCATAAAAGTTAAAAGGTAGGTAGGTAAGGCTTGTCTCTGGTATGCATGACGTTGGAGTCTATAGGAAATAGTGTTAAAGAGTCCTGCTGTAAAAATGATCATTAATAGAATGTAAGAAATTAGGAACCAAAGTGGATAACAAAACATGACTTAGCCTGTTAACTGTGGCTGCGAGGCCTTTGTGAGACGGAGATAGGTAGGTGACAGAAGATGAGATTACCACTCAGAATGATCAGATTTAGGGCTTGAGTGGTGAGAAACCAGAATGGCAGTCTAGCAACTTTGATTTAGGCATGGGTTACTGTAACCCGTTTGTATTAGCAGTTTACCTGGTTGTGGGAAAGGCTTTTATGTATCCTGAAAAAGTATAAACAAAGTGAGAAGACAAAAATGTATCTGTCAGTCTTGAACAGGGTTGTCTGACAAATTGGTGAACAAGAAAGGAAGGGGGTGGCCTTATATCACTGAGGAAGGGTCCACCAGCAACAACAGGTAGAAGCTGTTGAGGCCTCACTGTGTCTAAGTCAGCCTGTATAAAAGGCATTTTAAGATTTAGGACTGGGACCTGCACAAAATAGGCCCTGTTTGTAAATGGCATAGGTTGACCATCAATACCCTGTCATAGAGATTGAGGACTTAATATAGCAGACTTAATACTCAGGAAGAACTCTGTATATATGGCCTCTATGACCACAAATATAGAGAATGTCTTACCTGAGAGTTTTAGTGGAACTTGGACTCTGAGATGGACACCCACAAAGGGGGCTGATGGCCCTGAGTCCCCTCAGTCTTCAGCAGCAATTTTCTGTCAGCAATGAGTCTTGCAGTGTCAACATTTCCTGTGAGGGCTAGAAGTTAGGATGGCTTACCCATGCTTTGGTGGCTAGGAGAGTCCAGCAGCCCTGGAGTAAGGTCTTAAAGAATGCCAGGATGGGGCATTTTGTTGTCCAATGTCTTCTGCTGCATTTGAGCGTGGTCCATGGGGGGGCCAGGCAGCTCCACCTTGTGTAGGTTTACCTGCCTCAGAACTCCAAGTGTCACAAGTGTTAAAAATATGAAAAACCATATTAAGATCTCTATAAGGTTTGAAGGTCAAGTTTTGCCTTTTTGTTTAGGATTTGGACTACGGTAGAATTAAGTAAGTATGTAGGAATTTAATATTGGCATTTTAGATCAGAGAGCAGGCTTTATCTGGATGGCACATCGCTTTTTTGTAGGGTGACACGTAGAATTAACAAAAAAGCTTTAGTCTGCCGAAAAAAGCTTTAATGGAAACATTTTGCAGTAAAGGTTTAGAAATCTTATGAATAAATCTATCAAAACTGATCTAATACTGTCAAATTCTGAACACATTTACTTTTAAAGTTGTTATTTGCAGTAGTATGAACCAAGACAAATAAAATAAAACTTTGAAGAAAACCCTTGTCTTGAAATAGAGCTAGTGGTTTCCAGCAAAAAGGAATTTATAACCTTAGTTGTTAAAGAGGAGATTGGTGAAGGCTTTGATTGATAAACAAGGCTGGTAAAATTATCAGGTGGCCAGTAACCTTGATTAAATGGTTTGAGAATTGTAATAAAAAAATAGCATCTCTTGAGCAGAGCCAAATTGTAAAAAAAAACATGCCTGAGCAGAGCCGCTGAGCTGCTATTTCGCGGCGCTCCGGCAGAGCACGCCCAGTGTGGGGGTGGAGCAAGTGCTGGGACATAGCGTGCAGGTGCTGGGACTGCTCCCGGAAAAGTGTAAGATGGCAGTGACGATGACGGCACATGGGGGAGGGAGGGGCTGGGACGGCGCATGGGGGAGGGGCTGGGAGGCGGCCCAACACAGCACGCAAAGGTGGAACTGCTCACGGGGCTCAAGGATTGGAAAGCCAATTTAGGAACACAGCTGGGTTTTGATTAGCCTCCTGGACCTCTTTTAAAAGTTTGTTATAGTTAGTATGCTTGTCCTGCTCTGGCACAGCAATAGGCCCAGGGTCATTATCAGCGGTGTTTACCTTATGTCTGTGATCAGCTTCTTTTTGAGCTGCTTGCCACAGCTGATTCCGTTTTTGTGAGCTGAGAGTGGTATTTAGAATCACATCCTTAAAATGTAAATCATAAAAATTAGTAATAAATTTAAATTGCCTGATATAATTCTGTGGGTCAACAGAGAGGCTACCTAATTTATGGGTAATCTGAGATAGATCAGAAATGGAAAAAGGCACATGGATTAACATCCAATTCCTTGGGGCCAGCTTGCTCCCAAAGCGGTAGCAGAGCCTGAGGAGAAGATTCTGGAGCAGAGGGCCATTGGGCAGCTATCCATCCAGTAGGCGCGTGTGAGCAATCATCTGTAGAGGGCCTATAGAGCTGCTACTGGTCACCCTGGGAAACACAGGCAGATAGCATCTCACTGTGTGCCTTGCAGTGAGAGGATTGCTGTCGGCAGCACAATGAAGCATCATGTGCACTGCAACAGGGCGGCTGTTGCAGTTCACAAGAGGAACCACAAGGGGACACCCATTGACAGTGAGGGTCCTGGTAACATAGCGGCGCCTTGTCACCTGACCCAAAATATGGTGGCGCCCTGTGACCCTCCTGAACATGGTGACGCCATGCCACGTGGCAGAGGGTTGCAACATGGTGACTGTTCCTGGCGCAAGCTGCAACAATCATGTGCCCTGGTGGAAGGACATAGCGACCGAGACCTAGCATGGTGGGCGAGCAGTGAGAATACTGTAGGGGCTAGAGAATTCTCAGGAGAAGAAGAAGTTAGAGACTGGGAGGAAGCGTAACAGAGGGATCAGAGCTGCTGGGAGAGTTATGGATCCCAGGAGACAGAGGGGGAGAGGATCGCACAGCAGGAGATAACTGCGACACAGAGGGATTAGAGCTGCTGGGAGAGTTATGGGTCCTGGAAGGCGGAGAGGGAGACGACCGCACAGCAGGAGGTATCTTCGATGGAGAGGGATTAGAGCTGCTGAGAGAATCAGGCATAGGGGGAGGAGAGAGTGGTCCAGCAGGAGGTAAGGGCAGGGAATGAGTTTGGGGATAGGCAGGCAGCGGCTGGGAAAACACTGGAGGGCAGGATGGAAAAGTTTGAGGCGAAGTAGAGTTAGCCAAAAGTATCTGAGCAGGACCACGAGACTTAATGAGAGATGGGTGTGTTCTCAGAATAAGAAAGGCCTGAATATAAGGGAGTTCTAATAACTTGCTGTTCTAATCATACAAGTTCCTGAGAATGCAGGAGTCAAATGTTCCTTCTTTGGGCCAACGCTTGCCGATAAGTGGGTAGGTTGGCCAGACTTTCTGGCAGTAAAAAGTTAATTGTTTAGTTTTTGTGGTACTTTTAATTTTTAGAGTACATAAATTGGAAATTAGGCACTGTAAAGGCGTCTTTTGGGACTTAGAAAATACGTTCCCCATGACTGATTCAGGCAAGAAAAAAGCTGGTGGTCCAGAACAAGCCGTCACTTGTTTGTGGCACCACGCGGCAGCTATGGTTCCAAAAACTCGTATATTCCAGTGGTCACTGAGAGATTTATGAATGGAGCCCGCGTGGGGTCAGTAACAGTTTTGCCCTTGAAAGCACAAGGCTTTAAGGGAAGTGAGGCATTCTTTCAGTGTGGGTGGTCCAAAAATCTCTGCTTTGGGCTATCCGAACCCAAAGAACGTGAGAGATTTTACAGAATGTGGACACAGGTTTGCCCAGAAAGAACCCTGCCCTGGGCTGTCCTAAGGACGTGAAAATGCACAGACCCATGCGAACGGGGACCCTAATGCACAAAGATTGTGGCAGCCACTCAGAATGTTAAACAGTGACACAGAGTCATCTATGATGAAAAAAGAGGTGCTTCTCAGACATCACTGGATTGTTTTTCAAAAGTGTAGACAGAATTGAATCAATCAAAAAACTTGTGTCAGCAGCATCAAGTGTGGGTTCCTGCCCTCCATCTCTGAACGCTGACCATCTTCAGCTCCTCCATCTGGCACTTAACCTCCACCTCCCCATCCTCTCTGTTCACTCCCTGCACGTCCCCATACACCAGTTGAATTGTACAGTACTACTACCATCTTAAGGTAACTTAGTAAAAGTAAACAGTTTATTTACAATATTTCTGTTTTTTTTATGCTTTACATTCTATATTTGTGTCAAAGTTGTAAAAGACTTACTTTATCAGATTTATGGAGAAATCTGATTTACAACCTTCTCCCAGAATGGAACAAATTTGTAAGTCAGGGACTTACTGTACATGGATCCCTTCCAGTGCCTATCTTGCTTTCAGCTGTTTCCTACAGTGTGTGTTCCCTCCTGCAACAGCTTACCACTGGCTTCTCCCTGACTCTGGAAAACACCCCACTTTGTGTCCTCACCTCACTGCTACCTCTGTATCAGGTTCCTTAGCAGGCACCTTCTGATCTTCACAACTTCTAAATGCTGAGGTTCCTGTTCTTGGCTTAAGGCTTTCGGTACACCTCTCTGGAAAATTTCCTCAGGACTCATAGCTTTAAATACATCCATTAAAAAATATCATATACTAATAACTGATGAGTTCCACCCATATGAAACTCTGTCAGACCCAACATGGCACCTGCCCAACATGGCACCGGGCACTAAAATGACAAGTGTGTCCCTCCAGTACTGATTTCCATGTTCTTTTTCCAAACCCGAATTGATTTTTTTTGCTTTTCTTGCGTGCACCAGTGTCTCCCTAATCAGCTGTCAATACGTCATTCAGCCCGCTCCTTCCAACTCCACCCCCTGTCAAACCTAACAAAGCCTGAGGGCTTTTCCCTCTGCCTCTGACGGGTCTTGTACTCTTTTGCAGCCCTCCTCTGACCACAATAAAGGCCTTTTTCCTTTTCTTCCTGTTTCTCTATTGCACCAAAAATGTAACAATAACTCCAAGACCACAACTGTCCCTTGGGATCTGTAGGCATTTTGGTTCCAGGATCCCTCCCTCCAGGATTCCAAAACCTCACATCCCTGATATAAAATGACTAGCCATTTGCATACTGTAGCCATTACACGGCTACGAACGTAGCCGTGTAATGGCTACACATACGATCTATAGAAATTCTCCCACATACTTTCAGTCATTTCTAGATTATGATACCAAAATACAAAGTAAACACTATGCAAATAATTTTTACAATGGACTCTTTAGGAAATAATGACAAGAAAAAAGTCTGTACATATTCAGTACACACACAAATTTCTCCCAAATATTTTCATCCTATAGTTGGGTAAACGCACACACGTTGAACCCAAGAATATGAATGGCTGACTGTGTCTCTGAACCAGAATCTCTCCAGGCTCAAACCTATATTCCTAATGCCCACTTGATTGATCCGCTGAAATGTCTCTCTTGTAATCCACAAACAAGCCCCCAAACTCGAGTTTAAAAAATGAGGCAAAAACATATTTTAAAAAGCAGCGCTGATTTATTTTATCCTGGGCCCAGCGACACAGTGCAGTTGGAGACTGCAAAAGCTGTGTGTGTTGTCTTTTCACACTTGCCGCCCCTCAGTACATATCACAGCTCACAAAGTAAAGGTCATGGGCGTGGATCAGGAAATGAGAAAATCCTTGATCTGCTAAGGAATGAGGAAGATCTTTGTTTTCCTTAGGAGAGGGCAGAGAAGTCTCACAGGAATTTACAGTTCTTTACAGAGGAGAGAATTGATTAACATATCAATTAGGTTACCCAGATGGAGAAGGGAGAAGAAAAATGTCTACAGAACAGTTAGGGTCACGTTACAGGTATTTTGGTATAATACAAATATAACGAAGCTCTTTTTTCTAGTGTATAACATTCCCCACTGATTTTAGTTAGTGAGTCAACTCATTGACTCATAGGTATCTGTTTATAACCTTGCATGCATCTTTAAAATCATAAACTTTTAAGATCTTTGACATAGGGGCTGGGGATTTAACTCAGCAGCATAAGCGCCTTCCTTGCAAGTCTGCCATCGTGAGTTTGATCCCTGGTACCAATAAAAATGAAAAAAAAATCTTTGACATAGTTTAGCAACTTGTTTACAATATAAGGCCCAATAGGAGGATTAACAAAGGTCTTGCAACTGTCACTATTAAAGCTGTTAACCAAAAGGAGAAAGAAAAGCAACATTTAAATTTACTCTGTTCTGTCATACAAGTAACAATTTTTTTTTAAAGTCAGACAGAGACCTCCTTGGGGTCTCTATATGGGAGAACACAAGATTATCAGTTACATTTGACAAGCTTTAAAGAGTCCTTGGAGGGAACCAGAGTCCATTTATCCATAGGTTGATTGCTTTGGAAGCTGGGGCCTTTTTGAAGTGGGAATGATGAATCCAGGCAGGCTTTTCGGCTATCATCGCATTTCAAGAGATTCACGGTGATGTCACTTGATAAGGACCGGTGGTGTCTCAAGCTCTACAGCAGGGCATTTGTCCTTGCAGTGGGCAGCAGCGAAATAACCGGTGGATGGAAGTCAGAACTGGCTGAAAAGTCTGGGGGGTACTTAATAAGATCTTGATTAGCTAAATCAGCTAATTTTTTTTTAGAAACCTTAAGGATAAGAGGAAGAGGTCTCCCATACAAAGCCTCGAAAGGGGAAATACCTGCAACATAGTGGGTACATCCCGCACGCAAAAGAGCAAAAGGAGCGGAAGCGGGAGGCGGAGCTGGGGGAGCTGCTCTCGAAGCTCCCCCTGGCCCCAAGGCCCTGCTGTTCGAGGGGGAGGAGTTACCGCTGCTCTGCTCCTTGGGGGAAGATGAAGAATTGAAAGAGCCGGGCTGAGGATTTAGCTCAGTGGCATAAGCGCCTGCCTTGCAAGCAGGCAGTCGTGAGTGCGATCCCTGGTAGCGATGAAAAGGAAAAAGACAAAAAAAAAAAAAAAAAAAAGAATTGGAAGAGGAATATGACAATAAGGAACCTCTAAAATTTCCAAGTGAATTTTCACGGGTGTCCAGCAGAAAGAAACCTCCATACCGGAAACAGCGGCACCACTTTCTGACCAAGGAGGATAATCGGGAGGGTGGACGTAGAGATCCCACGTCCGCTGGACATCGGCTGGGCCGGAAACGAAGTCAGACAGATAAGCCCAGCGGCCTGGGGTTATGGGGAGCAGAAGAACTGTGTCAGCTTGGACAAGCAGGCTTCTGGTGGTTGATTGAACTGCTGGTGTTGGTGGGAGAGTACGTGGAAACGTGTGGCCATCTCATCTATGCATGCAGGCAGTTGAAAGGCGGTGATCTGGACCTTTTTCGAGTTTGGGTGGGAGCCTGGCCTGGGAGGCTGGGCGGCTGGGTGCAGGTAGCATTCCAATGTCTAAACCAGGGGTTTTACTGTGGGGCAGGGCTGTTCACGTTTTCTTAGGCTAGTGGGTGCTTTACTACTCCTGGGACTGGCCCTCTTTTTGGGCTGTCTCCAGTTGGGCTGGCAGTTTCTGGTGGGCCTGGGTGACCGGTTAGGCTGGAGGGATAAGGCTGTTTTCTTGTCTGGATTCTCCCACCTTGCAGCGTTGCTTGACTCTAGTGAGAGATAGCAGGCTGTGGCAGCAGCTGGTAAGAATAGTTCATTGGGGATGGCTGGAGTTGCCATGGTTCAAGCAGAGGACTAGTAGCCAGGGGAATGTACCTGTAGCTAGTGGGCAGTACTGCCAGCCTGAAGAGGAGGTGGCTCCACTCTTGATAATGGCTGGGGTTCCTGAGGATGAGCTAAACCCTTTCCTTGTGCTGGGGGTTAAAGCCACAGCATCAGATACTGAATTAAAGAAGGCCTATAGGCAGCTGGCAGTGATGGTTCATCCTGATAAAAACCATCATCCTGGGGCTGAGGAGGCCTTCAAGGTTTTAAGGGCTGCTTGGGACATTGTCAGCAACCCTGAAAGGCGGAAAGAATATGAGATGAAACGAATGGCAGAGAATAGCTGAGCCGGTCAGTGAATGAGTTTCTGTCCAAGTTGCAAGATGAGCTCAAGGAAGCAATGAATACTATGATGTGTAGTCGATGCCAAGGGAAGCATAGGAGGTTTGAAATGGACCGGGAACCTAAGAGTGCCAGATACTGCGCTGAGTGTAATAGGCTGCATCCTGCTGAAGAAGGAGAATTTTGGGCAGAGTCAAGCATGTTGGGGCTCAAGATTACCTACTTTGCACTAATGGATGGAAAGGTCTATGATATCACAGAGTGGGCTGGATGTCAACGTGTGGGAATCTCCCCTGATACCCACAAAGCTCCCTATCACATCTCATTTGGCTCTCAGATCCCAGGCACCAGTGGTCGCCAGAGAGCTCCCTCAGATGCCCCTCCTGCTGACCTTCAGGATTTCTTGAGCCGAATTTTTCAAGTACCCCCAGGCCAGATGTCCAATGGGAACTTCTTTGCAGCTCCTCAGCCTGGTTCTGGGGCTTCTGCAGCCTCCAAGTCCAGCAGCACAGTACCCAAGGGAGAAGCCAAACCCAAGCGGAGGAAGAAAGTGAGGCGGCCCTGCCAGCATTGACTCCCCTTTCTCTTCTTTTTTCAAATCAATGTCAGGGAGTCAAAAGGGATGTGTACAGCACAGGATGGATGGAGTTTGACTTGTTTATTTTTAAAGATTTTAAAAAAGGAAAAATTTAAGCTTAAATTGTTCACTTGTAGAAGGCCCCTGAACCAGTGCCTCCAACCCAGGCACTCAGGAACTGAATCTTGTCTTCTGACATTACCAAAGAAATAGGTATGGTTAGAACAAAGAACTGGGGCCCATACCTGAGCTGGAGAATATATTCCTCTAAGGGATAGGAAGTGTGTTATTTCTCTGGGGTTTGTATGCCTTTGTCTTGTCATTTGCCTTTAGAGCAGATGATCCACCACTCTTTTAAATTATGAGTCTCTTTCCATTATTCTGATAGCACTAGTCAACAAGCAGAACAAGGAAGCATTTGCCCTGATTTTGGAGATGCACAGAATTCAGAAAGTAGAAACTGAATTTTTCTTGACTTTCACCTAGTGGGTAAATCACCCAACTGCAGGCTTATTGCTGTAAGAATGGCCAAAATTAATAATTTTTAAAAAGCAGACTCATGTCCTCTGCCCTTGGGTAAGGGAGAATGACAGGGGAGTTCTCACAAGCCTCCTTGTTGTCCAAGGGTTTGTATTTTTTTTAGGTTTGTTTTTTATATTTGTATGTACATAGCTATTTCAAGCCAGGGGATTATCTTTCTATAAACATATAACTGGCAAAAAACAAAAAGAGCAAAAGGAAAGAGACTCACCCAGTTCTCGTCAGTTTTTAAGGCCATTAGTAATAATTGTCTTTAAAATCTGACTTATCTTTTTTATTTGCCCTGAACTTTGAGGCTGGTAAGCACAATGGGGTTTTCAATTGAGCTGCAAAGCTTAGGTTAATGTTTGAGTTAGCTGGGCTATAAAAGCTGGGCCATTGTCGGACCCCATGGATAAAGGGAGGCCAAATTGGAGAAAATGTTTTTGGGGCTGACTCAGACTTAGGCAATGCTTTAACCCATCTAGTAAAAAATATCTATCATTACTAATAAGTATTTTTTTTGAAGTCTAGGCTTTTCCATTTTTGTAAAGTCTATTTTTCAGTGTTTTTAAGGCATAGTCCCACGTAGCAAGCGGTTTCTATTTGTTATTTTGGGTTTACCAATTGGCACTGAGGGCATCTGAGGCTCACAGACTGGGCTAGCTTTGATATTAGCCCCCAGGGATCGCTCAGAAGTTGAGCTTCCAGATGCAAGTCTTTTTAAGGGCAAATAGGCTCTGACAAAGTAGGTGGGATCAGCAGTAATGTTTGAGCTTTCTCAATCCCCACTGATTTTGTGGCTGCCTTTTGGGTGGTGGCATCTGCCAAATTATTTTTTGTATAACAAGGCCATCTCCTGCAATGGGCTCTTTAGCGGATAATAGCCACTCTCCTTGGCATCTAGATGGCAGCCAAGAAGTCCGAAATTTGGGGAGCATTTTTAATCTTTTGGCCCCCAGAAGTCAATAATCCCCATTCCTGGTAAATAGCCCCATGAATGTGGGCAGTAGCAACGCATACTTTGACAACTTGAGGCCTCAGTGAGGGCAATGAGTTTAGCCCGTTGGACCAATGTTTTTGGCTCCAGTGTTGGTTCCTATAGAATCTGAGAGTCTGTGGTAACAACAGCTCTCGTAACCCGCTTACCTTGATAGAGTAACTGCTTTCATCGGAGAAATAAAAAGGAACTCTAAATAGTGGCTCATCTGTCAAGTCTGGACCCAAATGCAGTTGTGGAGGGGCAAGGAGGGGCATCATCATGCAGCAGAGTAGCAGGGTTTGAAGCCGCTGTTTTCTTGAGACTGATGGTAGTCAGATCTAGAAGTAATGCCTGATAATACATGACTTGGAAGTTGGCAGCCATCGGTCTGGCAGAGTCTTGATAAGTCTCCAGCAAATAGAAGAAAACAAGAGTTTCTGTCCCAAAGTCAATTTTTAAGCTCTTTTATGAGGAGGGCCACTGAGGAAATCACCTGCAGACAGGGTGGCCATCCAGCTGCCACATAATCAAGTCTCTTGGAAAGATATGCAACAGGCCTCTGCCAGGGTTCCAAACTCTGGGTCAGTCCTCTGGCTCCTAGAAATTTTCACATTTGCTTTTAGTCACAGGAACTGGAATCTGTTGGATGGCTTGCATCCACTGGGAGGAAAGAGTCTTATTTTTTTTTTTATGGAGAGTCTTGTGATAGCTCAGATCCCAGAATAAAACCCAAGGAAGCGAGAAATTAAAATTTGGGGACCAAAGGCTTTATTTTAGGCCAGGCCTGGCATCACAGTCTCCAGGAGCCAATTTGGAGACTGCGCACCTTACAGCTAGAAAGGTTGGGTTTTAAATCCGAAAACCACAGGAATGTTGTAATCACTGACACAGTTAGGTAGCATCTGGGCTTTATAGAACTTCCTGTAATTTCCTTGAAGTTAAGCATTTCTTAAAGAACAGCACATTTTATTACAGATAGCCGGATGAGAGGTAGGGGAGGGGGTTTTAGGAAACTGATACCTAAGGCTTTTACAGCTTTCTCAGGAAATAGAAACTTAACCTAGAAAGATAGGAAGGGAGGGGATTTATAAGGAGCTGAAACTTAAGTCTTTACTGGAGATGGAATTTTAATCTCTATTGAAACAGCACATACAGAACAGGAAGGGGGCGCATTGGTTAGAACTAAGGTACAACATTCCCCTTTGATGTTGTGACTTAGGTCAAATCTTTGACCTAATCTTTAAGGATTTTGAGGTATGGGCTTGTAGGTGTGCTGGCGTAACATCATCAACTTTATGTCTTGCAATTTTTGTCTGACATATGTAGTTATTTTATTGAGTATACAAGGACCTACTGTGACCAGGAGCAGTACCCCTAACAATGGTCCAAGCAAGGGCAAGAGATAGGGCAGGATTTTATTTTAGACATTCTGTAAAGGTTTTTAAATAGCTCTCTCTTCTTTTTAACTAGGTCTTTCTGTAGTCTCTTGATTTTATCTGGGACAATGTTGGACTTATTTACATAAAAGCAGCATAGTTCCTGTAATGTCGCACAGATCCCTCCTTGTTTTGCTATTAGGAGGTCTAGTCCCCTTTTGTTTTGGAGAACTACTTTAGCCAACGAGTCTATTTGGTCTTGAATGACCTGAATGGTACTAGATAATGTCTGTACAACACTAACAATATGGTTGGAAAGTTGGACAGAAACCCCTACTCCTGTTGTCCCCATATTTAAGGCTCCTGATATTCCTAGGCCTACCAATAAAGGGATAAATTGAACTGCCCTCTTTGATCGGCCTGTGATGTAATCTAAGCTAAGAATGGGGACAGGGTCATCCCCAGGTAGGATCTCTATATCAGGCAATAGGAACGCTGTTACACATATCCCTGTCCAGTTAGTTGGGAGGAAAGTATAGGCCATATTTTTTCTACAAATAAATACTTGTCCATCAGCAGGATAAAGGGAGGTAGTCCAGTTAACTATGGAACTACAATTAGTAAATGCAACGAACCCCACGTCAATGTCGGAGGTATTGTTATGAAAACCTCCTTGGAGACAGAGAGAGTCCTTGAAGCCTACTGGTTGTACTCTAAAGGGGGGACCAGCACTACAATTTAAGTAATCTTGTGTCATGGTTTATGTTTGTGTCCCCCAGGCCTCATGAGTTTGCATTGTTCATTTGTGATGGTTCATGGTATAGTGCTTGGATTGATGGTGTCAGTGCTCCACCCATATAGGGGTGGAGCCAGGATGTGATGTAATGGCAGGAAGAAGGTGTGTCTTTCGCTCTTTGCTGGTACGAGTTTGCTGTTGGTGGGCCGCCATGAACTGCAGCCCAGCCATGCCTGCCTGTCTTGGAGCCAACTGAGTGTGGACTGAAACCTCCAAAAACTTTAAGAAATAAACCTTTCCTTTCCCAACTTTGGGCTTCAGGTATTTTGTCTCAGCGACCAGCATAAAGTAACTAAGACATCTTGTTTCTCCAGTGTAGTCAGAGAAACATTGGTGGGGATCGCAAGGGGCATGGGGAAGCCCTGTGCAATGCATAACCAGCAATCTTTAGCCAAAGTTGGGTTGGAAGCATTTAAGGCTTTATAAGTGGCCTCTAGAATATCAGAAGTTTGAGCATCCAGATCAACTCCTCGCGATTTAGGCAACATCAAGGGGTGGTAATGTATCTGGGGAAACATTATTTTTATTAGCTGTTTGACTCGTTCCTCAACCATGAGTTTTCTGATCTTATCTTTTGGGCCGCCCCCATCAGACACACGTATAGGGGCCACCTTGATTTACCAACCATGCCAAGACATGAGGCTTGGGCATATTTTTAACTTTCTATTACTGTCGGATTGGTGGACCAATCACCTCCAACACTTTTAGCCCGTGTCCTCATAAGCTCAGCAGTGAAGTAAGTTTTGTTATCTATGTCTATACATTCTTGTACAGAGTCATAGCAGGAGGAATGTATTTTTGAATACTAAGAACAATTCTGAGGGCATGGCCCTGGCTGGCTGTCTTTGTTAGGTATCACACGGGGCTTTAACATATACATTCACCTTTGAGTCAAACCCCCTGTAACTGAGGGTATAGCAACAAGGAATGTTAACTTGTCCCCACAATCTGTCCGAAGACTGTATGTATACAATTTATTGTTTGTGTGGGAAGGATCCCGATCCTTGTTTCCTACTGTATGTATAATTCCCCCCCCCAGTTGGTGTCTTTATCGTTAGTAATATAGCCCCCTCCACAATCACAGGGGTTTTCATACAAAGATCTTAACAATTGTTCTTTGCTTACAGGGGGACCAAAGCCACCATGGAAGGTCGGCATCAATGTTATTAAAATCAAAGCAAGCAAGCTAAAACAGTTCATGCCTGGCATAATCTAACTATGTTTTAGTCAATTTTAACTTTAAGGGGTTACCAGTCTGCTGTACAGTCCATTGAGAACACTCTTCGCTGTCTGTTGCCTCCAGTGGTTTGATGTGGGTATGGTGAATCTACGCAGTCTTTTCTGTTACCTTGACAGTGGTGGGAGTGCTGAGCACTACGGTGAAAGTTTCTTCCCAGCGGGGTTTGAGGGAGTCGTGGTGGTGGCATCACACCAAGACTGGAGTCCCCGGCTCAATCAGTGCCTTGAGAGGCATCTCTGAAGGCAGATCCGGGTGTTTTTGTCTAACCAGCTAGTGGATTGAAGTCAACACAGGTTGGAGAGTCTGCAGGGACTTAATGAGATCTTGATTAGTTATTTTAGCTAGTTTATCTTTTGACAGTCTTGGAACCAATGATAGGGTCCTCCCAAACATGGCTTTAAAGGAGGAAATTTCAGAAACATATGGGGTACATCTAGCTCTTAACAGTGCAAAGGGAAGAAGGCTCACCCAATTATCACCAGTTTCTAAAGACAGTTTAGCTAAAATGTCCTTGAGAGTTTGGTTCATACACTTTATTTGCCCTGAGCTTTGTGGCTGATAGGCACAGTGGAGTTTTCCAATTAATCTTTAATGTCTGGGCTAACTTTTGGGTGACTTGGACTATGAAAGCCAGGCCATTATCGGACCCCATTGATAGTGGGAGGCCAAATCAAGGTATGATCTCATGTAATAGCTTTTTAGCTACCACTAAGGCTGACTCAGACTTAGTAGGGAAAGCCTCTACCCAGCCAGTAAAGGTGTCTACTAATACCAAGAGATAGCAGTGCCCCTGTAAACCAGGCTTTATCATGTCTTGAAGTCTACTTCCCAGTGTTCTCTTGGAACAATTTCTCTATGTCGGGTGCTCTTTAGCATAGAGCTCTTGGCTGAATTGACTAACAAGCATGGTGGGCATCTGGAGCTCAAAGAGGCGGTCAGTTTGCAGAGTTTTGGAATAAAAAACCGAGTTCTGAACAATTCTGCAAGTTTAGTTCCCCCTAAATGGGTAGTCTGGTGAGCCCAGTGTAACAGCTTCTGCCCTAGTGCCTCTAGTAACAGTACTCATTTATCAGGTAACTAGTACCAGCCCCCTGGGGTGGGGGACTTTACTCCAAGTTGAGATGCTATCTGTAGGCCTTTTTTTTGTGTAGACTGGTTCTGACAAGATCAAAGGGACTAGCATCAGAGCAGTTACTTTCTTGGTTGGCCCCTCTGATGTAGTTGCTATTTTTCGAGCGGCTTGATCTGTCAAATTGTTTCCTAAGGTGACAGGGTCATCTCTTTTCTGGTGAGCCTTGCAATGAGTAATAACAACTCGTTGAGGTAGCCAGACAGCTGCCAGCAAGTCTAGAATCTATGGAGCATTTTTAATCTTAGTCCCAGCCGAGGTTATGAGACCTCGCTCTTGATAGATGGCTCCATGTACATGTACTAGTAGCAAAAGCATATCTACTGTCAGTATAGATGTTTACCCTCTTTTCTGTGGCTAGTTTTAGTGCCTCAGTCAAAGCAATGAATTCCGCCTTTTGGGCAGAGGTGCCAGGTTCTAACCACTTAACCCAGAGTACCTTCTTTTTGGTGGTCACTGTTGCCGCAGCCACTCATTTGCCATTCTGGATGAAGCTGCTTCCATCGATGAAATAGTTGTTGGCATTTCCCAAAGGCTGGTTGGTAAGATCAGCCATAGGTTCTGCTGCAGTTCAAGGATGTCAGCACACTCATGGAGAGATGTCCTTTGTTCTTCTGGGTCGTCATCAGGCATAAGGATGGCTGGGTTTAAAGCTGAAGAAGTCTTGAAAACTACTGACTCAGGGCTGGGGATTTAGCTCAGCGGCATAAGGGCCTGCCTTGCAAGCAGGCAGTCATGAGTTCGATCCCCGGTACCGATAAAAAGGAAAAAAACAAAAAAATAAATAAATAAATAAAACTACTGACTCTGGGTCTAGGAGCAGGGCCTGATAGTGTGAAATTCTAGTGTTCGAAAGCCATTTTTTGGGAGAGGTTTTGATAAGAGTCTCTAAACTGTGGGAGGTTACTACAGAAATCTTCTGTCCAAAAGTGAGGGTTTTTTTTTTTTTTTTTTTTAGCCTCTTTAAGTAACATTGCCACAGCAGCTAAGATTCTCAGGCAGGGGGGCCATCCTCCTGTCACCAGATCAAGTCTTTTGGAGAGGTAGGCTATAGGCCTCTTTCAAGGGCCAATGTCTTGGGTTAGGACTCTTTTGGCAATGCCCGTGAGTTTATCTATGAACAAGGTGAACGGCTTGGTAACGTCAGGGAGTCCCAGGGCTGGAGCCTCTGTCAAGGCCCACTTGAGCTGCTGGAAGGCCCGTTTATATTCATCAGTCCAGTTCAGTGAGTTTTGAGTTTCTCCCTTATGGGAGTCATATAGAGGCGAACTTTTTAGTAAAATTTAGCCTACAGTATCCAACCCCCCCAAAAAAACTCTCGTCTGTTTTTTAAAAATTTTTTTTCTCATAGAGCAATTCTAACACCTTGGTATCTTTTTGTTGGTAGCTTGTAAATTTTCTCAGTTCTCAAAAACCTTTTGTGCTATCTCTATTAACTGGCTGAGGGGCATTTTTAAAAATCTCTCAAACCTTTGTAATTTTTGTCTAACATGTGGGGCCGACTGAGTTGCAAAGAAAACAACTGGCAATATTGGGGGGAACCTCCTTACCTCTGGTTGTTCAATCAGCGTGAGACAAAAGGAGAACATGGCTTTAAAATTCCAGATCAGAAAGCAGGATTTCTGGATGGCACACCACTTTTTGTCCCAGGGTGTCACGTGGCAGGCCATCATTTTACTGAAATCGCGTGTTTAACAAAAAGGGCTTTTTTATAGGAAACAAAATTGTGCCGCATAATCTCCCAGATGTTCACAGCACATGTAAGAACTTGTATCTTATCTCTATAATCACCTATAGTTTCATTTTGATGGAAACATTTTGTAGCAAAGGTTTACCAATCTTATGAATAAATCTACCAAAACTGATCTAATACTGTCAAATTCTGAACACATTTACTTCTTGTCAAACCTGTTATTTGTAGTACTATAAACCAAGACAAATAAAATTTACATCCTCTTTAGCTTTCTACAACTTACAATATACCTCCAAGTTGAGCTTTTATCTTCTTTCACATTCTGGCACAGTCAGACATTTTTACTTGAAGACAAAACCACTTGTTTTCTCCTTCTTTTTCTTACTATTACCAGTCAATTACCTTTTTTCTCACTTCTCAGACAACATTAAAACTCTCAACAAAACCCTTGAAGTCACCTTCTAGTAGTCTAAAACATATTTAATTATTTTATGTCTTTTTACCACATTAAAATGCTGTTTTTTTTTTTTAAAAAAACTATAACCTCTTAACTGGCTCAATGACAGTATGACCTGGTTTTCACTTGGTAAAGTTGATATGATTCTTAAAAACCATAAATATACATATATATGTGCACATATGTTTACATTTTAACCAGAAAGAAAATACTCTTTTTAAAAGGCATGCCGAGGTTGCAAGTAATCAATTGAAGACTAATAGATTAAACAAGGTGCCACAACATTAAAGACACAAACAAAGGTTGCTTCACGCACAGTTTAGTGAGCTAAAGGAAATAATTTTTTACTATGAACTTTGAGTCTAATAAGCCATATGGATCCTGCAGCAGAAATGGGCAGCAAGCCCCTAAGTTAGTAACAAATTCAAACAGGCAGACAATTTTAAAGTACAAAAACACTGAACATAAATATCTAAATTCCTTTGTCCATGTTGGGCTTGTAGAAGGGGTTCCTAGGAGAGAATTTTATGTTAGATTTGGGGTAACCAAAAGGAAAACAATCAGAACAAATGGACACACAGACAGACATACCAGACAAGACAAGCTGCAGCAAAAATGGCTTTTGCTCAAAAATTGGTCAAATTTTGGAATTCCGAGGAATTAACAAATTAACCAATGGAGCGGTTCCCCACCTGGGGCAGAGTCACAAATGAACAAAGTTCATCCCAA